AAAAGACTCTTATAATAAGATACTCTTCCATTTTCTAAATCCATATCTGTATGAAATTAGATTTTCTTCATTGCAGTTCAACCAAAACAACATATCACCACAGACTGAATACAAATGCAAGTAGGAGAATCTAGTTTCTTTTATTAACCTAGATTCTAAAGAGATTTGTGAAAATTTAAAACAGTATTACTCTTTTCCTTAGTTCTTTGCTTTGAAAAACATAGTTATTTTAATAAAAATGATACATTAACATGTAGATACTTACGTATAAATCTAACAAAAGAGGTACAAGATTTGTCTGCTGAAAACTACAGAACCTAGATGAAAAAGATCAAAGATTTAAATAAATGGAGTGACGTACCATGTTCATGGATTGGAAGACTCAATATAACATGTTAACTCTCTCTAAGCTAATCTGTTGATTTAACACAATCCCAAACAAAATTGCAAAAGGATTATTTACAAATATAGACAAGCTGATTCCAAAACTTATATGGAAATGTAAATGAACTAGGATATCCAAAACAACTTTGGACAAGAATAAACATGGAGAACTCACCCTACCCAATTTTAAGTCATACTATAAAGTTGTTATAATTAAGACAGAATGGTGTTAGTGAAAATATTGACATGTAGATTAATGAAACAGAATAGACTGCCTAGAAACATACCCACGCAAATATATTCAATTGATTTTTGACAAAATGCAAAGAAATTGGATGGGGAAACTACAGTCTTTTCTTTCTTTTTAATTAGTTTTTTTTAGGGTGTACTCAACACACAAAGGCTGCAGAGAGTTCCGATAAGATGAATACTAAAACATGTCTACCAGGTATAGCCACATGAGAGCTCATGTGATGGGGCAGGAGCCAGATGGCTATAGATTCAAGAGTCCATGGGGGATGTAGATGTGTGGTCCTCACAATCCTGAAACACCTGATTGCATCAGCTGAGCAGTCAAAGTCTACCAGACAGGACACTAACTTCTCCTGAAGAAGCATTCTTACAGGGACAGGCAGTCACCCTGTCCCCATCAACAGGAGAAAGCAGGAGGAGCTCAGCTCCGCTCAGTGGCAGTCCAAAATTTAGAAACTCCACCAACCAAGAACGTCCATCTTCCCCAGGGAATAGTATCACCTCCACGGAAAATCAGTCCATTGCCAAAAGACTAAAGTTTATACAGACAAACATATGCAGATGTATCCAAACTCCCCTCTCCTACCCTTTAGTGAAGAGTTCTAGCAGAGAAGGATCTGGCCCTTTTGCTTCAAATTCAACATTCGATGAGAAATAGCAATATGCCAGTCACTTTGCCCTGCATGTTCACATGGATCATCCCCTTTAAGTTCACAACGAATGTGGAATAGATACACTCATTTTACATATAAGGAAACAGAGGTTGGCTTGCCCAAAATCACATAGCTAATTAAGTGAGAGAGCTGGAATTTGTATCTCTAGGTAGTTTGAGTCCAATTCCAGAGGTCTCTCCACTACAACATAGTATAATTGAGGGGAATTATTCAAAGTAGATCTCTGTCTCCTTTCTTGTATGAAAACTGAAGAACCTCTCCTGAGTCTCAGGGCTTGGACAGAGACAGCATCCACTTATGTGTGCATCCCATGTCTTGCTGGAAGTAGCTGGGCTGTAGTGGCCCAAAGACCAGGTTAAGCCATCACTTTTCTCAGAAGGCTCCTTCCTGGATGGTCCAGGGCTACTCATCTATAGAGCATGGTCCTCCCTGTTCTCTGGGAAGACCCAGTGTAAAACTAGTATGGACTGGGCAGCTTGTTTTCCACAGTAGGTATGGGAAGCTTGGGCCAGTGTAGAGTAGGGAATGAATGGTATGTGCCTGCCTCCCAGAGCCACCCACTTAACATCCAGAAGATTTGGTGGTATCCTGGGTGACTGCTGATCATGGCTGGGGGGAGGGGATCCCCAAATCATCCACTTAGAACAGGAATTGGGGAGACAACGGGGCAATGGGAGACGTTCTGCCTGCTCATTATGCACGTGTCCATGGTTCCGGAAACTGCATGGGCTAAGCCTTTGGTCATGTGATGCTCTGAGGGGTGTGCCCTGCCGTCTCCGAGGAGCTGTCTTACCCTGCCCTTCCTGGAGAGATACACAGAGCCGGATGGCAGACCCTACAAGGTCATGGCTAGGAGAACTCCACCTTTCTTTCGAAGGCAGTACTGCGTAGAGGGCAGGAAAGGAGCTGTTAAAATCGGACAGCCTGGCTTCAAAGTCCAACCTTGCCACTTAGTCGTTGTGTAGTTTGGGGAGGCTTTTTTTTCCCCCTCTGGGCTTTTGTTTCCTCATCTGTAAGTACAGATAATAACAGTGCCTGCTTTGTGGGACCATCATGCATACAGGAGATAATACGAACCAGGGGTGTAGCGTGGTGCCTGGCACAGAGCCTGCCCCAGCCAGTTCCCACTGTTAGCGTGATCCTCGTCGTTGGCAGTAGGAGGAGCCCTCCAAGCTCATTTCCAATGTCCTTCCATGTGCTTCAGGACATCGCTGGGCAATTATGGAAAACAATGGCCCCTAGGAATCTAACCAAATCCCAAAGGCAGCTGGATCACCAGCAAGGCGGGCTTTCGGTGACTCATTCTCCCCCCGGCTCCCCCAACACACTCACTTGGCTGTCCTCACCCTCCCCAGGGTAATTCCACGGGAAACTTAATAGTCAATAGAATTGACAAAACAAGGGAGTTTGGCTGGTACTTGGAGATGCCTGGGACCCAGGGACATAAGACAGTGTCACTGCAACCATGTCCCCTTTCCCCAAACACACACACACACACACACACACACACACACACACACACACTTTTCTCCCTGGAGATCCTGGATCAGTTTGAGAAGCCTCGTGATTTTTGCAGCCTCTGTAGATGTCCTGAGCCAAGGAATATATATTTCTTTTTCTCTCCAGACTCTGCTTTCCCTCTACCTTAATTCCCTACCCCTCCCTCTCCATCCCAGCCTATTGATTTAAGTCCTAGGAAGCCTGAGAGAGCAGGGAAAGGGCCTGGCTTCTAAGGAAAAAGGAACAGAAATGGCCTACGCCCTAACTCTGCCATCAGCCTGGCTTCCAAGGATATTGCCAACTTCCTCCAGTACGCAGATGGTTGGGACCTCCAGCATGAGTGCATCGACTCAATCTCTGCAGGACAACTGGCCAACGACTGCATTTTCCAGTTTCACTGCATCAAAGTGGGGCCACATGACGTGCTTGTTCCTATAAAAGGTGAGTGGAAGCAGTACATATCGCTTCCGGGTTAGAAGATTTCAGAAGAACAGAGGCTTCTTCATGTTTTCTTTCTGGCTGGAAGCAGATGACGTAGGGATGGCAAAGCCACAAGACAGAAAGATATGAGCCCCTGAAAATTCACGTGGAAGCAAGTCTCCCACTAATCAGAACACGCTCACTGAACCCAGAGGCGAATGAGAAGTGGACACCGGTTGCGTTAAGCCATTGAAACGCTGGGAGATGGTGGGGTTTTCTACCGTGGGTAAGCATTACCCCAACTACGAATTCAGTGAGCTTGGTTCCTGCCACCTCCTTTATACCTCCTCGTGCAGATGAAGCCAGGAAAGAATCGAAGGAAAGATTCTCCCTGCCATTGATTGTGAGAGAGCAAAGGTGTCCGAAGTCCAGACGCAAGTGGCAGACCGGACACTTCTGTGGCTGTGGCTGGAGGCTGACGCTGAGGGTCTAGAGGTTTGCAGTGGGATCACAGTGGCAGAGGCTGCTACATTAAATAGAAGAAAAGTAACTGCAGAGCAAGAAGGGGTGGGTCTTTCCGAAGAGGCCATTGAGATCACCCAATCAATTCCCCTGGAAAGAGCTGAGTAAGCAGCGGAGCTTCCTTATAAACATGCCTCTCGCTGAGCTAGCAAAGGCAGAGGTAGAGAAAGAGGAAAGAAGAAAAAAGGACAGGCCCTGAGTGCTGCTCCCCTGCCCCCACCTGGGTTATGAAGACTCAACTTATTCTTAAAACTCATTGCAAACCTCGCCTCCTAGGTGAAGCCTTCCCTGATTTCCCTGGGTGTGGCTGGTGGCTTCTTTGTGTTTCAGCTCACAGTCTCCATCACACTGGGTTCTGACCCAGTTTCTGGAGGACACTGTCACACACTTCGTTCCCCTGGCCCAGCACGAATGACTGGCACAGAGTCGGCACTGGTAGGTGAATGGAAAAGTAAATAAATGCGTGATTGCGTGAACTGAGCCCAAAGAGGAGGACCCACAACTGAGGCTAGCTGGGCACCTGGACTTGCAGTCTCCATTTTCTATCTAGGGCACCAGTAAAGCATGCAAAGACAAGGCCAGCCAGTGATGAAGTGGTTAAGGAGGCTGAACCCCACAGAGTCGATCACATGGTTCAAGTCCCAGACCCAGCGGCTTGTATAACATGCCAGGTGCATGCATATGCATGCTCGAAATCCCAAGGAGAAGGGATTGTGGCGTGGTCATCTCCCCCGGGGGATGATTTCTCCCTTTTTCTCTCTCTCTGCCAAGCACACATGCCCTATAAAAAAATTTAAAAACAAAAGAAAAAGAGAAAAAAAACATATATGCAAAGACAAATTCTCAGGTCACACAACTTTTATTGTTGAGACCACAGCCAGGGTCTGCTATGGATCCAAATGGTGTCCCCTCCCCAGCTGCGACAACATCCCCACGGACCCACAGCCGTCAGACCCTGTCCAGCCCCTCTGTTGAACCCTGGCTGCTCTTCAAAGCCGTCTATGCCCCGAGCAGCCGTCCGCTGGAGCAGCAGAGCTGGGCTAATCTGCTCAGACCCTGACCCTGAGGATCATAGCACCATGAGGGGACCAGGCATGCCCGAGGAAGGTGACGAGAGTGCAACTGGGAGAGGAACAGAGAGATGCCCCAGAGCAAAGAGAGGGGCAGGACCCCAGGCTCCGGCTGGTGAGGAAACCAGCCTCACCAACAGCTTGCAGGAGCAGAGCTTAACTGTTTTTTTCAGCTTGCAGGGCCTGGGGACAGGGGTCGCTTTCTCTCCATGGCAGTTTCCACACCACTGCCTGTGTCTGGGACAGCCGAGAAACTGAAAGGCGGGGAAAACTAAGAACCCTCAAGTCCCGGACAGCCCCTGGGACTGAGGAGCGCCATCCACCAGGACCCCCACCCCCAGGGCTCCCAGGGGTCTAGACAGGGACAGCATCCGTCTTTTCCTGCCCTGGCTGGATGCAGGATCAGCTGATGATCTCTTCGTGTGGATTTGCCTGCAGCCCAATGAGGATTTGTTTCCCTGAGTATCTCAAAGGGACTCCAGACACCGTGCCTCTCACGGGATGGCCTCGCTCAGGAACATGTCCAGTCCCTTCATCCAGTCCCTTGAAGCCAGGCCCATTCCGTAGGACCCTAAAATGGTCCAGTTCCTTTGAGTCTTCTTCTAAGGGGATTGACTGAGTGCTCTCGAGGCTCCTGGAGTTTTGGAGAATCTTTAAAAATACATGTTTCCATTTCTTGAATATAAAAATAAAATTAAAATCCACCCCAACTTTTGCCATAGGGCGGGCGCCACCACGCCCCGATCCACCCCAACTTTTGATTGAACACACGCAGTGAGCTCTGTTCACGGCCAACATCCGCGACACAGACGGTGGGCTGAGTGAGGGTGTGACGCTCAGCAAGTGGGAACAGCTTGTGCTAAGGACAGTCCGGCACAGGGAAGCTGGCGTGCCAACAGGCCTGATACCCAGCAACAGCACCTCCTGCTCTGCTCACTCCGGCTGGCCTCCAAGCCAAGGTCAGAGGAGCAAGACTTCCTGGTATCACCTCCCAGGCCCTGCCCAGGGCTCTGCCTGGGCTCTGCTTCCTCCATTCATCTAAGGGTCCCCATGTGGGGACGCCCACGGTCCCCAAGCTCATCTCCAGATGATTTCCAGTCCAGGGTTTCCAGGAAAGATGGCGGCTCTCCTGCTGTCTGAAGAACTTGGGAGAGCAGCAACACACTCACTCGCTCACACACACTCACTTGCACACACTCTCACACTCACAGAGGCAGCAGACAGTGGAGGTGGGAGTAGTGAAGGTGCCCGGTGGCCGGTAGCTGGAAGGTATGACAGATGGTCCGGCCATGCCGGTCGGCCTTGCAGCGACCTGGGCTGTGAGGTGGGGCAGGACAGCTGGCTAGGATTTCCGGAAGCGCACCTCACTCTGAGAAGAGAGTGGAGAAAGGGTGAGGGTGGGGAACACAGAAGCCCAAGGTGGGGTCCAGAGCCTACAATTCAGCCCAGCACTGCCTGTCGAAGAGGGGCAGCAAGGGAAGAAGCTGGAGGAACCCCGAGGCCTGCGGCACTGGACTTCAGAGCAGCCTCCCATCCTCAGCCGGGCCGACTTGCTTGGCTGCTGGAGGGCCGGCCTAGCCCACACTGCCTGACAGCTCTACAGCCCGGCCATGGGAAGGCTGGCCTGAGCTGGGTCAGCGGAGTCGGGGTGAATCCTGATTCCTAAAGCCCAACTTCCTGCCACACCCCACCTCAGAGGCCCAAGTGACTCCTAGCTTGGCCACTGGGGGGGACAGGAGAGGGGGGCTGGGCTGCCACCAAGCCCAGGCCCACCCTTTGGCAGCTCTCTGAGGACTGTTCTGAGGGACAGGAAGAAGGGAAAGACATGCCAGCAGCTGGGTTGGCCTGGGTCTCGCTTAGACCCCATCCTGAACACCGCCAAGTGCAAACGGCTGTGGGGTCTCTGCTTGGACTGTCTCCCAGCCTCCACCTCTGGGGGCCCACCTGCTGGCACAGGGTCGGGGCAGGCCCTCACCTCCATCTTGCTGTAAATCCAGGGGAGGACCTCAGTCACTTTGGTGTACACGCCGGGCTTGTTTCTCTGGCCACAGCCCGTGCCCCAGCTGGTGACGCCTGTCAGGTACCAGCGGTTGTTCTGCTCACAAACAAGAGGCCCCCCACTGTCTCCCTGTGGAGGGGGCGAACACGTCAGCAGGCAGGCGAGGTGGGCCTTCCCTCCCACATGGACCCCAATACCCAGGCTTCCCTCAGCCCCGGCTCCTGGACCCACGAGCAGCACCTGGCAGGAGTCTCTGCCCCCACGCAGGTCGCCCGCACACATCATCCGCGGGGTGAGGTAGCTGTCGTACACCAGGTAGCCGTTGCACTTCTGGAAGTCGATCAGGCTGACCTGCACCTCCCGCAGGAAGGGGGATGTCTTCTCTTCAGTGAAGTGGAGCAGAGAGGAGAGAGGACGGGGGCCAGTGAGGCTTCAGCTAGCTCCAGGGCCTTCCGGCCACACAGCCCAGGACCCAGACCCACAGCTTCTCGGAGTGGAGGGTGCCATGCCCATGCTGGGTGCCACCCTAAGGAGGTCCCTGGTGGCTGGACACCCAGGACACATGATCACACACCTCCTCATACCAGACACAACTCACCACACACAGAACAGAGACATACACGCGCTCAGACAAAACTCCCGCCTGTCAGGGCTGCCGTGCACAGTACGTGTCTACATTCAAAGCACCATCAGAGGCCCAGCTGTGGTGACACAGGTGGCCGGGCTCCACTCTGCAGTGCTGGAGCCACACGGAGAACCAAGGGTTCAGATCCCGGGTTGACCTGAAACACGCCAGGCATGTGCGTGTGCACCTGCCTGTGATCCTAGCTGGTCGGAAGGTGGGGGGCGGGAATTGTAGCATGACAAGATCTTGTCGAGGGCACATTTCTCTCTCTTTTGCTTTCTCTCTCATGAAAGAGATAAAATAAATTAAATTAAAAAAGATACGTCACTTTGTTTTTGGAATTGTGGGCCCTAAAGAGGGCAGGCCTTACTTATCCATCCACAGGTGGGAAACTCAAGGGCTGAAGAACTGACTGGCCTACGGCCATGGAGCTGCGCAGGCAGGTTAGATTAGGAGAAGGCTGCACCCAGGCCCTCACCGCTCCACCACACGGAGCCAGGGACAACGGCCTTGGGAACTGGCCTGAGCCTAACAGCCAGGCCCGTTAGGCCACAGACTCTGCCTGCTGGAAGTAGTAAGCAGAACTGACACCACACAAGGCCCTCAGCAGTCAGGGTGAAGCCAGCAAGCCTGACACCAGCCTGTTTAAGGCCAGACAGAAATATCAGACGCCCCCTCCTGGCCGAGATGCGTGGTGCAGCTGCCTTGCCAATTCACAGCTCTATACTTCCCTCCTAGAAAAGATAGGAAGGTTCTCAGGTGTGCAACAGCCGTGTAATCCAGGGGAAAGTCCTCCCGTTCTGAACTCTCTCCATGTGTCTCGACTCTATGACAAGCCCTTTCGGAGACCCTCTTACTGAGATGCGCCCCAGTTCACAGCACATGTGTTCCCTGCTACAATGAGCAGCAGACCCAGCCTGTTTAACCACAGGGGTCTTCTTGGTGCTCTCGGTTGGAGGGGCTTGTCACACAACTGTGCTGATGAAGCCACAGGTGCCTATACACACGCTCACATCAGGACCATGAGTCTATACACCTGAACTCTCACCTGGAGAGGTCCTCATCCGTACACCCTGGCACACACACACACACACACACACACACACACACAGACACACATACACACACATGCATGCACACACACACGCACAGCCTGGCATCTCTGCTTCTCACCATCTGTCTCCTTGGTCTTGCCAAAGCCTGTGATCCAGCAGGTCTCGTTGAGGCTGAAGGTCTGTCCGTGCATGGGGAGGCAGACTGGGTGGATGTGAGCTGCAACAAATCTCAAGGCATCAGTGAAGGAACAAGGCTGGTGGACCCTGCAGACTAGTGGTCACGGGAGCCAGATTCCACATGGTTGACTACGGTTCAACTCTGAATCCAGGATGCTCGAAAAACATGCAAGTTGCATGTGTGTGCACGCTCGAAATTCCGTGAGGATGGTGACATGGAGAAGAAGGGATGGTGGCAGCAGCATGTCCCATTGAGGAGGGCTTTTTTCTCTCCCTTTCTCTCTGTCTCTCTCTGGTGAGCATACATGCCCTCTGGCAATTAAAAAAAGTAGCAGGGGGACCAGCAGATGGCATAATGTTTACATCACTAGACTCCCACATAGTTGACTACAGTTCGAGTCCCGGACTTGGTGGCTTAAAACTCACACCAGATGTGTGTACATGCATGACCAAAATCTCAAGAGGAGAATGGAGGAGAAGGGATTGCAGCATGGCCATCCCCGGCGGGGGGTGGGGGAGGAGGATTTCTTGCATCCTGTCTCTGACTCTATGGCAAGTGCACATGCTCTCTAGCAAAAATCTCTCTCAAAAAAAAAAAAAAAAATAGCAAGGCTGGAGGTTTTGGTAGGGAGTAGGAGTGGAGGGGACAGAGTACCAGTGTTCTAGGAGCCCTGTCCTTGGCCCCCAAGTGAATCCACCAGGACCTTGAACTGACCATGAAGAAACACAAACACTTTATCTAACCCACCAGCTTTGGGGCACTTCAGAGTCCTCAAAGCCATTCTGGTTCCAGTGGTTGCCACGTGGGCAGGTGATAGCCTCGGAAGGTCCCTGTGCCACACTGGCACTGCATGCCGAGCCTCCTCCATGCCTTCCCATCAGGACAAGGAGCAGCAGCAGCTAAGGCCCAGATGTTACAGCTACAGCATCACAGGGGCATGTCCAGCCTGGTCGGGGTTGGCACTAATTGGTTGGCCAGGGCCCATGGCTTTCCTTCCAAATGTTCACCCGGCACAGGGTGGGAAACCTCTCTAAGCAGGGAGAGCACAACCCTAGAGACGCAGACCACAAAACCATTGCTCCCTGTTCCCACTCTCAGAACTATCTAGAAGGTGCAGTTGTGTTTCATGCCTCTCCCTTACGGCTGGTGTCCCAAGACGGACTAGGATACTGGCCGCTAAACTCCAGTTTACAAGAGGAAAATATTAGCTGAAAACGTTTACAGTGTTCCCAATCATGTGTTATGTTCATGAAGCGTCCTGCACCTGGAACAATGCCTGGGACATAGTAAGTGCTCCGTAAAAATTTAAAGGGGCAGGGGGAGAAGGAGGAACAAATGTTAAATTCTTCTCCCATAAATTGGGCTTTGAATGTTGGTCTCCACCACATTTGTCTACTACGGAATAAACAAGTGAAAATAAATGAAAGAATAGCACTTGTTATTAAAAAAAAAAAGAAGCAAGGCAATATTTCTTTTGTATGCCCATTTTTGGAAAGTTAAAGTCTTTAAAACATGTGACGCTGTTATATGCTCCATTGTTGTGTATTCCTTTTTTTTTTTTTAGGAGGGGCAGTAAAATTTATCAGTGAATTTTCACAAGTTTTCTCAGAAAGTACTGTGACTTCAAGGTGCTTGGCCTACCAACTAAGTACAAGAAAATGTGCCCTGATTTCAGAACCAGAAACCAGTGCGCAGGGACTGACCACAGGACTGCCTGAATCTGACCTGTGCTTCTCAGGTTCGCTTCCGGCCCAAGGGCCTATCAGAACCTAGAGAAAGACGTGCAATATTGTAATAGCTTTCAGTTTAGAGATTATTTTATTTGTTTTGGAATTTTAAATAATATTAAGAAAGATGGGGGTAAGTGGCAGAGAATATCTGGATGTCTCACCAAACATCTGGGGCTTTACAGAGCTGCTAGGATCTGCTGTGGCATGGGTGAGTGGCAGGGCAGGGGCCCACGCCGCCCCCAGGCTCCCCAGTGTGGAAGGCCAGGTAGAGTTGGTAGGACTGACTCCTGGGTGGGCGTGGCTCTGGTGGGCGTGGCTCTGGCCCAGCCCTCTCTGCACAGCAGAGCTCCGCTCGGGATCCGCCCCCTCACACCACTTTGATGAGCTCAGCGCTCTGATTCCGCAAACACCACCTCCGTGATTAGTGTACCAGGAAACCAGCTCACAGGCTTAGAGCTCCAGAATGTCTGGACTAACCAGAGGCTTCCAAGGCTTCTGGAAATCCCGGTCCTCCAAAGGAGGTGCTCTCTGACTGCATGACTTGGCTGGAGGGAGTAGGTCCTGGCCCCATCCCGAGCCCATCTGCTGCATTTAACGAATCCTTTCCGGCCCATCTTTGCGCTCCTTTCTCAGGGAAGCCTCCAATGACTAGGTCCCTTCATCTCTGCCGCTGTAGTTCCCCTCAGCGGCGCATCACCCACCTCCACTGCCTGCCTCAGTGTGCTGGCCCTCTTGGTCCTTCGTGCCATCGCGGCTGAGAGCTGGCCATCTGGCAGACACACAATACCTTCGATCCTGGGCTCGCCATGGGGTGACGATCCAATAACCCCATTACAGGTTGGGAATACACGTGTGTAATACACCTCCTCTATGGAACATCACGGCTCAGCCCAGCCTGCCGTAAACGAGCTCGGAATACTTGCACACTTCCACTAGCCCACAGTGGTGGTGGTGGGCAGCTTCTGCCACTCAAAGCCTGCTGAGGAACTTAGTGAACACCGTCCCAAGAGCGAAACACAGAACGGTTGTAAGGGTATTCAGAGTACGGGTTCTGCTGAATGCCTGCCACTTTCACGTCACCTTACAGAAAAGTCAAAACTTGTGTGGCACCGTGGTTGGGGCACTGGACTCCCACATGACTGACCATGGTTCGAGTCCCATACCTGGCAGCTTGCTTTCTTACTTTCCCATTTTCTCTCTGGACAAATTAAAAATAATGATAACGATGAATAAAATTAAATAATTTTTAAGTCAATAATGTAAGCTGAGACACTGTAAGTCAGGAACTCCTGAGAACTTCAAAACAGTGTCTCTGCAGCCTCATCTGGCCCTTCGCTCCAACTTCGTGGCAGTCCAGTGTCCGAGGGTATGCTCGGCGTGTGCTCAGCTAGTTCTCAGCTGCAGCGTGAGCAACCTGCCAAGCCGAGAGCCACGTGGGAAGAGCTTAGCTCAGGAGTCGGCCGATCCAGATCCAGTCCTGGAGCTGTCACCTAGTCCCTGTGGCCTCGGGTAATTATCTCTAAGGCTCCATTGCCTCGGATGTAAAATGAGGCTAATATTAGAACCTGCTCGACAGATAAAGAGCACACGCAATCATGCATATCTGAGATGCCTGCTACCGTGCCTGCCCTGGTGACATGCTCAGTGAACCCCAGTGAAACAATTCAATCTATTTGTATCAAGCCCAGTAGCCAAGCCCTGGCTCTGTCACCAATTTGCAATGTGAGCTGCATCACTGGGACAAACGCGTTTCTAACTCTGGGCCTCAGTTTCCCTGATTGCAAAATAGAAGTGTTCCATTGCATGATCTCTGAGAGTCTTTGACTTCTGCCATGCTGAGGCTCGGAGACTTCCAAATGGATCGCCTGCTGCTGCCAAGTCTGAGGGCTACCTGGGCTGCCAAGGCGGGGCGGGTGAGGGGGGCACAGTCACTCACCAGACAGGGTCAGAGGCTTGGAGAGCCGCATGAGGGCGATGTCGTAGTCGTCCTGCTCATCGGTGTAGTTGCCGTTGATGATGATCTGGGAGATGGAGGCTGCCTCGGGCAGCTGCTGCAGGTTGTTGGTGCCTGCATACACCTTCCAGCCTTCCAGGATTTTCTCCCGGGTTCTACAAGAGCCACGAGGGAGCGTGGTCCAGTCCTCTGCCGGGCAGAGTTCACTGGCCCATCCACTGCACCCAGAGAGCTATAACTGGAGCTCCAGCTTGGAGGCAGGAGGATGGATGAAATGACCTCTGAAGGGAGCCACTGTCTTATCCCTGGGGTCTGAAGCAACCCCCCACACCCAGACAAGAATTCTGAACTGGCTGCTCTGCACCTTGTAATCATAAAGGGGAAGGGGTGAGCCCACTCACCCCTCTGGGGTCCCTCTGGGACCTCTGGGTGGCATTTGCCACCCTGCCATCTCATCTGCACACCCCAATGACCATGAAAGGTAGCTGGGACAGGTCTCAGTAGTACTGTCCCAGCAAAAATCGATTTAGCTAGGACAAAGTGACCCTCTGAAGACTCATTACTAGGGTAGTCAGTGCCCCTGAGGCCTGGGCTCAGAGTCCTTTGCTCCCACCAGCCTAGGCTGAGTCCCCAAAGAGACAAGGCTGGCCAAGAACTCTCAGAAGCCTACTGCACTGCCCACCTTCTTCCCAGCCCCCAAGTCCTGGGACAGGGGTCCTAATGTCTCATGCTCCTCTGCTGTAAGATCCAGGTGCAGGAGCAACAGTAAACTGAATGCTCAAAATTCTTCCTTGGTCTTGGGATCAGCAGTTAGCAATAATGGCTATGTCACTGGACTCCCACGTAGTCTACCGCTGTTCGAGTGCTGGACCTGGTGGCTTAAACTCACGCCAGGTGCGTGTGCATGCGTGCCCAAGATCCCGAGAGGAGAATGGAGGAGAAGGGATAGCGGCATGGCCATCCCTCTTGGGGGGTGATTTCTCGCTTTCTGTCTCTGTCTGTCTGACGAGCGCACATGCCCTATAGCAAAAACCTCTCAAGAAAAAAAAAAGAATTCTTCCTTGGTCTTCAGGGGCTCCCGAGTCCCTCTTCCTGCCTGTCTCACTCTCCCTAGGGGCCTCAGTGGTTTCCTCATCCTTGGGCCCACCTGAAAACAAGTGCTTCCAATTCGCACCCAGGACCGGATGCCAACTGCAAATCCTGACCCCGCGTGGCCACCACGCTGTCTGACCTGTGGAGACCAGGCTCACACCACAGCCTCCTCCCCAGAAAAGTTGGTCTGCAATCAGCCCTTCCTGGGATCCCGGTCTCCGTCAGCACTGACTCATCCGCCCCCTCGAGCACTTACACGAAGAAGCAGTGGGCAGCCGTGAGCACCCACTGGGCGTCGATGAGCGTGCCCCCACAGATGTGGGTGGCGCCGTAGTGCAGGCTGACCTGCCAGGGCCACTTGCTCTCTGCGGCCAGCGCCCCACCCACGATCCGCCCGGTCATGGCTCTCAGTCCACAGTCTGAGGGGAGCGAAAGAGACAGCTGTGAGCTCTTGTTTCTTTCAGAGCCTCGGCCATACTCCCCGGGCCTGGAGCAGGCCTGGGCAGCCCTGGGCAGCCCTGTCCTGAAGGTGGGGCCACCCGCCCACAAGCACAGCTTTGCTCACTTAGTCTGACGCAGCATGGCTATCTCCTGCCAAAGCAGAACTACTGCATGGCAGGCTCACTTCCTGGAATCCAGGTTCCTCTTTTCTCTCATTCATTCATTTGACGAATGCTTAGCAAGTGCCCGATGCTTTGGCAGTGCACCAGGTGTTAGGGTTACCATAGTGAACCCCACGGCTGCACGCAGGAGCTCAGGAAATCGGGCCGATTTTAACACGACCCTGGACTGACAGGCATCAGCCCACAACAAAGAAGGAACAGGCTTCCTGAAATGCACAGGAGGCTGGGTGCTCACAATCAGCCCGGTGGGCTGTCTGGTGCTTGTGGGAATCTCCCATCCCTAGGGGACATTTCTATGTCCTGGAGCAGGGCATCCCCGGCTATAGTGCACAAGAGCAGCCCTAGAGTGTTTCAACACGTGATCTTTTTTCTTTAAAGGAGGAGAGAGTGATTGGGCTCCCTGTCATAGCACTGGGCCCACCCTGATCAGGGAGCACCCCTGCCCCAGTCATTACCAAGAACTCAGACTTGGGGAATGGTTAGCTACCAGGGTTTTGGGGTCAGATCTGAGGTCACCAGCCCCTCACCTACCGGCAACCTGACCTTGAAAGGTAAACATTCCAGTCTCTTTCTGTGGGTAGCAATGGCACCTGCCTCATAGGTCATTGTGGGGATTAAATGCAGTTGTGTTTGTAAGGAGGCACAGGGCCTTGGGACCAGCAGATGGCATAATGGCCATATCACTAGACTCCCACTTAGTCGTCTGCAGTTTGAGTCCTGGACCCAGCGGTTTAAACTCACACCAGGCACATGTGCATGCATGTCCAAGATCCCAATACGAGAAGAGAAGGGATTATGGCATGGCTATCCCCCTTTGCGGGTAATTTCTCACTTTCTCTCTCTCTCTGTCTCTCTGGTGAGCACATGTGCACTATAGAAAAGATCTAAAACCTCTGGGGAAGAAAAGTGCAACAAAAAAAAAAACTAAAAAAAAAAAAAAAAAAAAAAGAAAAGAAAGAAAGAAAGAAAAAAGAAAAGAAAAGAGAAAAAAGAGACACACGGCTTTGTGCACACAACGTGCTCAATAGGTGGCAGCTCCAGGTCTTCATCTCGATCTAGTTCCACGTTGTGGGTAGAGGAGCTGCCAGCCGGCCCAGCTCCTGCTCTCCCAGTCCTCAGACCCTGCTGAGAATCAGGCCCCTGCCCAGAATCCAGAAGACTCAAGAGCTTCCTTGGAATGAGAGGTTGCAGGGGAGCTCCTGTGGAGTCGGGAGAAGGGAACACACGGCCTTGGGCTGTCCCAGTGCCTTGTAGGGACCCATCCCTGAAGCAGGCCTACTGGCTAAGCGCCTCTTCCTGGACCCCAGTGCCCAGCCACCTTCCTCAGGGCCAACCTTCTGCCTTTTAGGCTCCCACCCCACCAGGCCACGATCTGAGAAGAAGGTCTTACGGGAACATTGCAGAGAGACATAGCGCTGGGAAGGGCAGTCAGACCTGCAGGAGGGAATGCAGAAGATGGGAATAAAGCACGTTAGCCACCTCCTCTAGGTGCTCCTGACTCTCAGAATGGACTCATGGAGGCGGGGTCCCACAGAGGCCAAGGGAGGGCCCCCCTCCCCTGCTGACAAACAGGTAGCCTGACCCACCACTGCCCCTCCATACCTGTAGAGATTTTCCTGGATGGAGGAGTTGTATTCAGAGACTGAGAAACTGCTGGCAAAATCCTTGTGGACCACCCTGGTTGTCCGGAAAGCACTGTAAGGGAGCAGCGAGGAAGAAGAATGAGCCCCCTGGAGACAGAGTCCACCCCCTAGCGCTGGGTCCCTGCCAGCCCTGCCGACGGTGTCCAGACCATAATGGTCCGGGTGGACCAGCTCCTCCTTGCTTCAGAGTGGGCAGTGAGACCTATCCACATGTCGCGTCTCTGCCTCCCACCAGCTCCCTGCACCAGCCCAGCAGTTCCCAACACCTGGTCTCAGGCTGGAACATTAGCATCACCTGGGAAGTTGTTAGAAATGCAGGTTCCTGGGCCCTACCCAGACTACTGTGCCAGAAACCCTAGGAGCGGGCCCAGCCATCTGTATTTTAACACACTCTCTGGCAATTCTGATGAATGCGCAGGCTGGAAGAACACTAGTCTAGCCCTCCCCCTCCAAACAATGACCCATGGACCCCAGAACTATTGACTTTGAGCCTGCATTTTAAAGATTTACAGATTTGCACATTAAAGTTTGAGAGCCTTTGGACAAGCAGCCTAGGGATTCAGATCACCAGTGCCTATGAAGCATCTCGGGATGATGGCTACCCAGGTTCTAATCACAATCCCTGAGATGCTGCCTCGGGCGAAGTTTCACAAGCACCCCAGGTGATTCCGAGGTGGTGCACGCTCTGAGTTGGTGTGCATCTCGAACAGGGCATACTCTTGCATGAGCCTTGGCCTGGCCTTGTTCCTCCAGGCTCTGCTCTCTCCTCCAAGGCACCCTCTATGTCTTGTGCCCATAGTGCTTCACATGTAACCTTGCCATTACACATCACGGTGTGCTGTGCTTATTGGTTTAAGCCCTCATACCGCACCATGCTGGAGGTTCTTCAAGGGCAGGACTCTGTCTTACTCTGTCTTACTCCCTTTTGTCCAGATGTCTCATAGCCTGGCTCATAATAGAAGCTCAACAAATTCTCTCTCTCTCTCTAAGAGCTTTTTCCTATAGGGCACAAGCACTCACCAAAGAGAGACAGAGAGATAGAAAGCAAGGTATCACCCCACAGGGAATAAAGCCATGCAATCCCTTTTCCTCCATTCTCCTTTTAGGATTTTGGGCACGCACGCACACACACCCGGCATGAGTTTCAAGCTGCCAGGTCTGAGACTTAAACCGTGGTCCACCATGTGGTACCTTAACCACCACGCCACCTGCTAGCCCCAAGGAATGCTCTTTGAATAAATGTCATTCAAGGAACTGAAGGCCCAATGGAAGTTCAGACTTTCATGAGGTCATAAAACTCATCCAGAAAGACTCTGAGAAGGGCGGGCTCCATGGCGCAGTGGTAATGCACTGCTTGAGAATAGCCAGATTCTGGGTGGTGACCATGGCTCAGGTTCCTGAACTGGTCAGCCAGAAACATGCTGGGCATGCGTATGAGCGCCCAGGATTTGATGAACTAGGAGTCTGGAGGAAGGGATTGCAGTATGGCCAGACCCTGTGGAATGGAGGCTGTTTCTATCTCTGTCTCTCTTTCTTGGGCATGTACATGCTTTATCGTGAATACAAAGGAAACAAAGATGTCTATGGTCTTCTACATGGATCACTCAGAGCCTCTTCACAAATCAGGACCCTGAAGCTAAGGTGGGGCAGAGAACTAGTTCCAAGTCCTAGTCCCCAACCTTCATGTTTTATTCTGTGTGTGTATGCGTTTTAACAAGATTTTTGTATAGGGTGCATGTGCTCACCAGAGAGACAGAGAGAAAAAAATGTGAGAAACCACCCACCAAGGGGGTTGGTCACACTGCAATCCCTTCTCCTTCATTCTCCTCTCAGGATTTTGGGCACACATGCACCCAGCATGAGTTTCAAGCTGCTGGGTCTGGGACTCGAACCATGGTCAACTATGTATGAGTTCAGTGCATTAGTCACTGTGCCACCTGCTGGCCTCCAATCTTCATGTTTTAGATGCCTCTTCTACAGAGAGCCCACAGAGAGATTCTAAACCCTTTTCTCTGAAACCTTACATACATTGGCATGCCTCCCACCAGCTCCCTGCACCAGCCCAGCAGTTCCCAACACCTGGTCTCAGGCTGGAACATTAGCATCACCTGGGAAGTTGTTAGAAATGCAGGTTCCTGGGCCCTACCCAGACTACTGTGCCAGAAACCCTAGGAGCGGGCCCAGCCATCTGTATTTTAACACACTCTCTGGCAATTCTGATGAATGCGCAGGCTGGAAGAACACTAGTCTAGCCCTCCCCCTCCAAACAATGACCCATGGACCCCAGAACTATTGACTTTGAGCCTGCATTTTAAAGATTTACAGATTTGCACATTAAAGTTTGAGAGCCTTTGGACAAGCAGCCTAGGGATTCAGATCACCAGTGCCTATGAAGCATCTCGGGATGATGGCTACCCAGGTTCTAATCACAATCCCTGAGATGCTGCCTCGGGCGAAGTTTCACAAGCACCCCAGGTGATTCCGAGGTGGTGCACGCTCTGAGTTGGTGTGCATCTCGAACAGGGCATACTCTTGCATGAGCCTTGGCCTGGCCTTGTTCCTCCAGGCTCTGCTCTCTCCTCCAAGGCACCCTCTATGTCTTGTGCCCATAGTGCTTCACATGTAACCTTGCCATTACACATCACGGTGTGCTGTGCTTATTGGTTTAAGCCCTCATACCGCACCATGCTGGAGGTTCTTCAAGGGCAGGACTCTGTCTTACTCTGTCTTACTCCCTTTTGTCCAGATGTCTCATAGCCTGGCTCATAATAGAAGCTCAACAAATTCTCTCTCTCTCTCTAAGAGCTTTTTCCTATAGGGCACAAGCACTCACCAAAGAGAGACAGAGAGATAGAAAGCAAGGTATCACCCCACAGGGAATAAAGCCATGCAATCCCTTTTCCTCCATTCTCCTTTTAGGATTTTGGGCACGCACGCACACACACCCGGCATGAGTTTCAAGCTGCCAGGTCTGAGACTTAAACCGTGGTCCACCATGTGGTACCTTAACCACCACGCCACCTGCTAGCCCCAAGGAATGCTCTTTGAATAAATGTCATTCAAGGAACTGAAGGCCCAATGGAAGTTCAGACTTTCATGAGGTCATAAAACTCATCCAGAAAGACTCTGAGAAGGGCGGGCTCCATGGCGTAGTGGTAATGCACTGCTTGAGAATAGCCAGATTCTGGGTGGTGACCATGGCTCAGGTTCCTGAACTGGTCAGCCAGAAACATGCTGGGCATGCGTATGAGCGCCCAGGATTTGATGAACTAGGGGTCTGGAGGAAGGGATTGCAGTATGGCCAGACCCTGTGGAATGGAGGCTGTTTCTATCTCTGTCTCTCTTTCTTGGGCATGTACATGCTTTATCGTGAATACAAAGGAAACAAAGATGTCTATGGTCTTCTACATGGATCACTCAGAGCCTCTTCACAAATCAGGACCCTGAAGCTAAGGTGGGGCAGAGAACTAGTTCCAAGTCCTAGTCCCCAACCTTCATGTTTTATTCTGTGTGTGTATGCGTTTTAACAAGATTTTTGTATAGGGTGCATGTGCTCACCAGAGAGACAGAGAGAAAAAAATGTGAGAAACCACCCACCAAGGGGGTTGGTCACACTGCAATCCCTTCTCCTTCATTCTCCTCTCAGGATTTTGGGCACACATGCACCCAGCATGAGTTTCAAGCTGCTGGGTCTGGGACTCGAACCATGGTCAACTATGTATGAGTTCAGTGCATTAGTCACTGTGCCACCTGCTGGCCTCCAATCTTCATGTTTTAGATGCCTCTTCTACAGAGAGCCCACAGAGAGATTCTAAACCCTTTTCTCTGAAACCTTACATACATTGGCAAACCCCCAAAATACTCAGCTTAAAAACCCAAACCAAGAAAGAGGATGGAGATGCTTCCTTGGTCTGAGAACCTGAGACCCCTACAAGTCAGGAGGCCATTGTCCACCCCCCTCCAGCTCTACCCACCAGCTTTGGCTTCTTCATTTAAAGATCTTTAGAGCCAAAGAAGCTCAGGGCTTTGCCTGGCCACACTTGCCTCATCCCTTTCCCCAGCCCAAGTCACAACTGCTACAGCTTTGCACACCCTGAGCTTCCAGTCCCAGACAGAGGAAGAAAAGACCTGCCCAAGTGCCTCCCCAGCTCGGCCACGGGCCCATTCAACATGATAACAGACATGAAGGCGCTTTGATGCAAAGAGCCCTGTAGGATTCAGACATTATTCCAGTCTCCAAATGATTCCTTTGGCCTCGTGAAGACAGCTTGTCCCAAACCCACTGGATTTCAGAGCTGCTGTCTCTTTAATGACTAAAGGGTGTCCTGAGCTAATGAGGTCAGCCCTGGTCTCCAAGGGACTTTTCAGTAGGAGGTTCCTGTGATGCACTGGAGTCACCCCCATAGCTGGGACCTTTACCTCTGAAAGCCAAGCTGCTGGCAGGTCTTCTCCGAGTAGGATTCATTCCAGCTGTCGCTGCAGATGGGAAGCCACTGATGGGAGGACCCAGAGTAGACTTTAAGCAGAGACTTGTCCCAGTCAAACCTCACTGTGGAGCAATAAAAAGAGCAGGTCCTCAGCACCCAGGCAGCGTCGAGCTCTTGGGCGATGAACTGAGTAAGGCTCCAAGATGCTGCTGTCCTGGCCTCCTGGCTGTGGCCTAAGAAAGGTCTGGTGGCAAGGGCAGAGCCCAGGCAGGGGCTGGGGCAGGGCGAGAGCTCCACCCAACGGGACCCCATCTCTGGATGAAGGGATGAGCTCTGCCAGGAGTTGTCACCCCAAGGGTGCAGTGATGTGTCCAGATAAGAGGATGACAGGGATTTCCCTGTCGTGGTCTGACCAAGTGCTCACAGGACAGGCGCTGTCATACATGCAGTCTGGGCAAGGGCCCATGTGTGAACAGGACATGCACGCACCCCTCCCCTAGCAGGTGTGCACAGACCACGCACGCAAACTCCCTGTAGCTTCAAGGACTACAGGAGTGACAAGTCAGAGGTCAGCTGTTGGACAAAAAGGAGGAATATGGACACCAGACCCACCTCCAGCCAGAGCTGTTCTGCTTCGCTCAGTGTGATATCCAGTTGTCAGATGTTATCTGAGAGCTATGGTCTTGTCTACTCATTTTACACATTGGGAAACTGAAGCCCAGAGAAGGTCAGTGACTGGTCTGAGTCACACAGCACTCCAAGCCAGGCCTCAAGCTCCAGTCTACTATGATAGATCTTCTGATTCCCTGTTCATTGCCTCCCATTTGAGCTGATGCAGTATGTAGTCAATGGAGTGTGCATGCACATGTGTACACACACACTCACGCACACATGCACACACACGCACACGCACTCTGCCCTGTGCCCAGCCTCCTCACCGCAGCCCAGCTCATCACTCTTCAGCTTGCAGTCCACCACCCCATTGCAGCGCACGGCGTGCCGGGGGCAGCTCTCCACCGGCTCCTTGTACTTGATCCCCGTGTGGCCCCGCCAGAAGTGAACTGGAAACACAGAAGCAGACACTGGGTCACTGCCAGCACCAAGAGACACGACACTAAGCAGCCCACGGCCCTGGGGGTTCTGAGACACCGACCTGCAATCCCTCTCGGACTCTGGGGCTCTCGTCCCCCATCTGTATGGAGAGAAAGGTGCCAGGCTCCAGAAAGCTCCTGCAAGCAGGGCTGCACCAGGCAGACTCGAGCAGCCAGCCACCCAGAGAGAGGGGGAGTGGGGGAAGTTGAGGAGGTGCTTTGAGAATCCCCTACCCTTTGTGCTGGCCAGGGGAGAGGCCAGGGAAGCCGCCCCTCTGGTATCCCAGAGCCCTTCCTCAGAGGCCCTCTAGCATCTCAGCGTGGTGCACAGGCCCACACAGAGAAATGGCTGTCTTTGCAGTCACACACACACAGGCTACCACCTGTCTTGTCTGCTCAGAGCCTGCCGCCCTTCCAGCCGTAGAAGCTTCTGGTCTTCCTTCCTCCTCCCTGTCCGCTAACTGAGGGACACCTCCTGTGCTCAGTTCTTGCCCCATTGCGTGTCTTTGCGTCTTTAGATGTCTTCTCATTTAACTAGCGCCTCCAGACGGCTGACCCCAAATGGTGGGCCTAAAGGCAGCGTCAGACACCACATGTGACAATCAGCTGCACGACCTCTTCTGTCTGACAGCGACCGACCTATTTCCAAATCAGCTACTGTCACTTCTTCTGCCTGGAGACACCTCTGCTTGGGTGCCTCAGGGACCCAAGTCCTAACTCCTCATACGCCAACTCCCCCTTTTCTCTGTGGCCCATCATGCCCTCCAGCACCCGAGGTGGGGGCCAGCTGGGGTGACACTCCTTCCAGTTCAGGCACAAGGCCCTCCTGGTCTCTTGGACCCGCCCCTCCTCTCTGTACCCTGGTCTCCCCCTCCTCCCACACTCTGGGTGCTGAACTTCCGGGGAGCCCTGGGCCATCCCCTCCCAGAAAGCTCGTGAGGCCACATCAAGAGGCCACCTTGATGTAGGGGAGGAGGTGCTGGGTGAGGAGCCAGGAGGCTGGGGCTCTAGTCCTGACCTTCCCGTGCAGTGACCTGGCCCTGGGAGGTCTAGAGGTGTCCCCCACCTAGTGGGGACCTCAGGAAATGCTGCAGATCCCTGCAGAGAGCTTTGATCTATCCCGTGAGCGCTTCAGGCCAGCCCTGCTGCTCTGGTAGACCAGGTGCCCTGTAGGTGCAGGGAGGGAGAGCTGGGCAGGGAGTCCTAGCAGAAGGTTTCCTGTGGCAGGCACCCCGTGCCCAGGCCTCAGCATGCATTGTGCCAGAGGCGCCACTGCCTGGTTGGGCAGGTGGGGAAACTGAGGCTGGAAATGCCCATTAACTGAGTCCATGCCGCTGGTCAGTGGCAGAGGCGGGATGCCACGGCAGGTCTGCATGGTACCAAAGTGCCCCGCGTGCTCAAGCTGCCTGCCAGCCGCGTTTCCACAGACTTCGCCACACCAGCTGCCTATCCCTCAGCCTGGCAGGCAAAGCTTTGGGCAGGCAGCCTGGCCTTACTGAAGCCAACAGATGGCCCCCAGGTTCCCTAATGGGGACTCTCCTCTCTGGTGAGGCAGTGCCCCCGCCCTGGGTCGACCTTGCCCTCCCGGCCTCACCCTGATGCCCTGTCCAAGTCCTAACAGCTTTCTGGTCTGCCAGGTCCTCTGTCCCCTGTCCCCCGGCCCATATGCCGTCACCTCTTCCTCACAGTTGCACTCAAATGCATTTGACCCTCATTGTTTCCAGCTATGTCTCGAGGGAGACTGTGATCCCCCTGAGGACAGGATGGTGTGATGTGAGGTCACTGAGGTTGCTGTGCTGGGCTCAGAGAGGACCCCCTGAGCAGAGCCCTGGGACGTAGCCTGGGTATCTTTTCCAAAGAAAGGGGGAAGTTGAGGTGCCCAAGCCCCTAACTCTGAACACTCTCCCACAGATGGAGTAAGTGCGAGATTTTCCAGGCAGGGCTGTCCTGTTTGCTCTTCTACATAACTAGTGTCCTCAGGGTGCGATCTTGCGCCAGGTATGGGCCCTTATCTCCCGTGCTCCTCGTGTAGCCCAGGGCGGCTGGTGTGAGAGCCCAGGGGCACACAGGAGGTTGTAGGAGCGGGAATGGATCCATCTCATCCAGAGGCCGGAAGTGGACTCAGAGCACTCAGGGACTCATCCAGGAAGCCGCACGGAAAGCGGCAGAGCCAGACCCAAGCCCAGGTTCCTCCGATCTCCCATGCCCTCGCCCACGCCCTTCACCCGACCCAGGCACCTCGAGAGGGGTGAAGGCAGCCTCGCGCTAGTCCATCTAAGAGTGGCCCTCTGAGGGCGCGGTGTGACCTGTGGTCCCGCTCCTGCCCCCACTGCACACCTCCCTCCCGGCCCACTCCACCCTGCTGCCTCCGTTCAACTCACAGAGCAGGATGAGTGACACCACCAGGGCGATGAGGAGGAGGATGCAGCCGATGAGTGGCAGCGGCCTCTGCCGCATCACA